GGAGTCTATGAGATATCAAACACCACTACTCTTGGTTCTCCTCTTAATATAGGCTCGCTCGGATTGAACTTCTGCGGAGATGTAGGCATCTGGCCGTAGAACTTGCTCGCCCACAACTGTAGCGGTTGGTTGGAGGTGCCAAAGGATAGGAAGGTGTTGGATGCTCGAGCGGCTGTGGGAGGTGAGTGTGGACGCGGCGTTGCGCAGTCTCGATATCCTCGTGGAGTTGTGGGCAAGTCAGAAAGCGCCTGACGGCGCGTGCATGGAACGGGACTAGAGTGTAGAGATTCTTTAACTTTCGTCTCGAAACGAAAAAACATATTGTATGCAAAGATGTTCCATACCTTTCAGGCAACTCTCACGGACATCCATATAGCAGTGACCAGGGTCGTTGATTAACACAGACCATGGATTGTCAGCGGTTGGTGGCTCAAGAACGTGTCGACGATCTGATTACCGCATCTCGGAGCACTTAAAAATGCTTTATGGCAAATTTTTTGTCCCTCAGCCAGAATTTCGATGAATAACTCGAGTCTCGAGGAGAGGGATGGCACGCGAGTAGCCCGTTAGACCTCCATGAGGGCTCCCCGAGTCAGGCTTTCCCGGGCGTAGTAATTGCGCTGTGAGAGTTCAAAGCATTCCGTTGATATTTCACGGCCACAGCTAACGATGTTAAATTTGAAAGAATCATCATGGCTGACCGCTACTCCGCTGAGCTGACATACCATAAGTCGATGTCGGTTCACGGCCGTACATTTACCACGAAAGCTCTCGCCGCGTTGTGTATTAAGAACCGTACCATCGCCGAAAATCTGGACCTTCAAAGATCCCAAGGAGGGAAGTCCGTGAAATGGAACTGGCACTACTTCTGTGACTCGAGATAAACAAAAAAAAAAAGGAGCCGAGAGACGCGGAGGGAAAAAAAGAAGATAGGCCCGAGCCGCGGATCGAACGCGGGACCTCTCGCAGATGTGCTTGGGTTAATCCCTAAGCGAGAATCATACCACTAGACCACCCGGGCAACTATGAAGATAGCGGGTTTCTTTAGTCCTCATGATCCAAAGAACAAGCTTACGGATCGAGTCTTACTCTTGAGTTACTAATGTGCTTAAGAGGGAAGAAGTGTACTTATCGCAGCATTGGGAACTGAGGAGCTTGGGGAAAATCATGCGGTACCAATCAACCGCGGTCAGTGTTACATATTACTAGACCACCCGGGCGATGATTGGTTAAATTGCGATATCTTTGACTTATAAGGCAGAGGCATAATGAAAGTGACGAAAGAACGAGTCAGGACTAACGAACTTATTGGAGCCACAAGCAACAAATGTATTATTACAGACATGATCGGATCCAAGACAGTTTTAGACCAGAAAAACAACCCACATATGCAACTCCAGTACTCCTGCGAAAAACGTACTCTGAAACCTATAGCACATCCGGTTATGTGAATCGCAATCAATCGAGGAGTTCTCTACGAGTGCAAATCATCTGAAGCATGCGTACCTACGGCTATTTGTGATTCGAACGGTGTCTCACGTGCGAAGACTATGTGCTGCCGCTGCTTTGGTCTCCAAGTTGCTAAAATGACCTTGCGAGGTGCGACAGCACCATTGTTCGAATCAAATCATGGCCAACAAACTATCCGTACTATGTTCACAACCACGAGCTGGTTGGTAAGTGTTCCGGTGGCCGCCTGGGTCTTTCTCACGTTTCCACGGTTGCGTTGACTTTTAACGATGGTACATGTGGAATCGATCCATGTACGGGTAATATGCCCATGTTGTTGATTCTGCCCATTGAAGGATATATATGTAATCTCCAAGCGATCTCAATGTACTGTGCCAAACCAAAAGATAATTCTATCATCTGTTCAAGTCTTAGTTGTCTCGAGTGTCAACACAATATCCAGCACCAGGAGTGTTCTAGTCTCTGGTGGACTGCACGGGAATATTGTAGCTGATCTGTAGTCAAACATAAGGGCCGCAAAGTCCCTCTTCCTCGATTGATCCGGCGGGTTAGGTGGATGATTGATCTACCTCCCACTCTCGAAACCTCCAAGTCTGTCGCTGCATGACAAGGTTAGGTGCATATGATTGAGCACTATTTCATCGCACTTGCGCCGAGCACGGATATACACCTGTTGCTAAGGCCTGGCTTACAACGGGTACCAATGCGGATATTTCCCTTCGTGATGATGAGACCCCAGTCTGAGCCAGGCTGAGAAATGAGATCTTGCCATAGTTAAATTGCTGATTAAGGATACCGCAGGCAACCTGTCCCTATGGATAGAGCGAACGCGTAATCACAAGCTCACTCTGGCGTTATACCACTCAATCACGCAACATACTCATGGTTCAGGTGCTGCTCTATCCCAGAGCCACATTCGTTCGGATTGGTACCGCTTGGATATTGTCGCTTTCAAGAGAAACAAGACATGAAACATGCTTCTCCTGGAGAGATGTACTACCATCACACATACAATGCTTGTGAACAAGCGGAGGCACGCTTGCTTGTGGACTATGCGGGACGACAGCTCGAACCATCAACCACCTACACCGAATGTTCCGCTGGCAGTGATGTGACGAGCACCTCTATTAAGGCTCTCCTTTTTATCTCAAGGACAAGATGTAAAGTTCAGGAACAACGAATTGGAACTTTGGAAGACTTCATTATGCTGGATGTCACTGTCGTAAGCCGCTCAGTGTTTGCCAGGCCGTCAGCTTGCAAGATGACGTCTCCGCCGGATAGTACCCAGCCCACGAAAAAAATTCGGCAGGCAATCGTGACGGCGTGGGTCTCTCAAACGTGCGGTTGACATCCTAATAAGCTTTCGCTCATCGCGGCGGTAGGACTGACCATGAGTTGACTAGTGTGCTGAAAATGGAGTTCGAGGTTGCTGCATTGGGAGTTTGACCTGATGATGACCTGTTCCTCCCGGATGCCCCCCACTGCGCAATACGCAGCCGGGCCCGAGGAACTGGTGTCATGCCGATGTTGAGCGATCTTCGAACGTTGTGCTAGAGAATCGGGATAGAGAGTCTGATTCTGATCCTCAGGGTGCCGGATCAGGATCGTGGGTGTCCACGCGTAGTGGCTCGTTACGGGGGCCCTGCTGACAGCGGATGCAGAAGAGATAGGCTCAGACGAGATTCAAAAGATGCGCCGTTGCTACTACTAGTAGTCTTGGGAGACAAAGGTCTCTGCCGTGCAGCTGCAATTCCACACGGATGTTAAAGCCGTTGTCTTATCCTCTGGCAAGTCTGGCTTCGACTGCATATTCGTAGACCAATAACTGTTCGAGATCTCTCTAGCCAAGAGGTATATCGGCCAGACATCTGAGAAGAACCAGCGTAATCCACTGGACAAGCTACCATAAGCTGTTCGTACGATATGTGATAGCAGATCGATATCTCTCTCAGTACGTACAATGTCTGCTCTAAGAGGAAGCATTGCCATCACCAAGTGGCAACCTGCCACATATACGGGGTGACCCGATGATACAGCGGGTCTCAAAGCCCGCCTCAGAATCGTTCGAGTATCCCATATCTCCCAGCCTCCCAGGTGGCGGCTTCCAACAGAATCGACCCCATAAGAATCATGGACACGAGCACAAGACCTATAAGAAAGCGAAAGACAGCGAGTCCAACGCATACCACAATGGAGAGACTGAGTCTGCGGGGTAGTTTACCAAAAATAGTCATCAGATTACTACTACGACGGGATTACCACGAAGAATACACGGACAGTCAAGAGCGAGGGCCTGCTAGCGAAGCACACTTTGCACAACCGATCCAATGTCATACCTGCGAGTAGCAATTTCCATCGAATAGTGATTATAAGGCTTTGCATGCTCATGCTCTGAATTGCGAAGGAATGGGTGCAGTTCACATTGATGTTGCAGACCTGCCGGTCAGTAAGGCAACACCCAAGCAAACCGTGTCCACGATGGGAGTACTGATTCGGTATCAAAATAAACGGGTGGAGGTACATTGGCTGTGCCAGGGCTTGAGAGGTCTGGGTGTTCTGGGTACGCCGCTTCTTCCTCGAGTCATCGTTGCTGTTATTGGTGGTGGTATTTCGGGTCAATTTGAATCTTTTGTGTTGGGTGTGCGAGTCATTAGGTCTAGTCAGCTTGTAATTCAAACGGCTCTCGTTATTATGTTGTGTAAAGCCTGATGGGAAGAACTTGGGTGGTTCCTGAGCTGGGTTCAAATTCGATGGTAAGTCTCTGAAGCACAAAGCTCGTATGCGATCTTTTTGAGGAGTCTTTCGGGACAAAAAGGGCAGCCCCTTCTGTCTTTCGAAATTCCTGGGTTGCTAACAATCACTGGTCTTCTCGAGCAAATTCCCCTCGCCCGTCTGCTTGTTACGTATTCTCTCCTCCGCCAGCGTTGCTTCCCTCGAGTCTCTCAGAGTTTGTGTCGCCAGCTTCCTGCTGTCAATTGGATTAACTATCCCTCGGGGTGTTAGGGCTCACGGTGTAGCTTGACTTCGACCGTATACAGCCAAAGGCGAAGATTTTCTCGTCTGGTGTCCTGTCCTCGAAATTTTCTAAGCTTTTGCTGAGCTCCCAGAAAGCAGGTCCTCAGTGATGGGGAAATTGTTATCAAATGTATTGAGGAAACCAAATGGGTGCTGGCAAATAATACAGGGCGCTGAATCCGATCACCACTGGCCAGTGTCGCAGTGCAACTCAGAATGAAAGCTACGGTCCTTGTCTCTGTTCCTGAGGTGCTCGATCAAGTACAAGACAGCAAGCCGTGCCCCTTGCTGTGTTCAAAGATCTTGTCGTGCTTGTATATCGGGATAGATTCTTTTGGAGAGAGTCTCTTCTTATAACACGGACAGCCGTACGTCTGGGGTACTGGCGAGGAGTGGGGTCATTAAGTCTGGACGAATCAAGGAGTGTCCGAGGCTTTTGTTAACGTCACCGGTGATGCGTAGCAGGTTCAGAACTTACCAGCATTCAGCATGACGCCCCCAGTAAAGCTTGCTCT